CTTGGTGTCACGACTCGACCTATCCAACCAGTCGTGTCGGGTCAACTTCCTCACCTCTTGTGACTTCACTTTACACCATTTGTGCCCACCTCAGTAACTCATTCACTCACTCTATCACACACTCACTTACACACTCACTCACACCCATCTACTAGTGCCATCTATTCGCAGATGTGGTAGGTGGTAGTTGAGTGTACTGCGCGTGTAACATACGACTTCGCGATTGCTGCGGCTGTTGTCCAAAGTCCAGCTGACGTCACAGCTCGTCTCTCCCCACAAATACTGCACAACCAGTGGGCAGTGCGTTTGTTCACTTCTCCATCCTCTCGCCTCAATGTGGCACCACCCGACTCACTCACATGCCGCCACACGCTGCCGCCCACGCTCACCTCGGCCTTCTTTGCTCCTTCTCCCCTCTTACCTCTCTTTGTACCACCTCCTCCTCCTCCTCTCTCCGTCTACTGCCTCCTCAACAGCACTCCAGAAAGTCGTTGAGGGAGCCCTCGAAGCCCCACATTCCTCCAACGTCTATGCACCACTTCACTTATCCACCTCCTGCACAATTCGAGGGACAATAAGCAGTAACGCCTCCTTACCTGTACCTGTCATTCGTACCGAAGTTGGCATCAAATACCAAACAACAATGTTGTGCAACCATCCGCTCCAACTCCACTGCTTCCCTCCATGCACTAGAACGCACGTCGACAATCTAATCGCGTGTAAACGAAAGAGGAGGCGAAAATGTGATGCTGCAATGAAGACACCACTATATAGGCTGAAATGAATCGCTGATGATCGCATTTTTTGCGAAATAAAATAGGATAGATCGAGATGACATGAGAACTGTAGGCAATAACGGCCATGCAACTGGTGGTTAGGTTAGGTGTGGAAAGGCTAGTGGTTGTAAGTCCGGTTGATGCGGCATGGTGATTGGCTGGTGCAAGGATGGCATGCGTGCAGAAGCTGCAGGTAGGACGAGTGTATTCTAGTGGTTAGTTATCGTTGGCGGAATGCTGTGTTGTGTTTGGATGTGGACGCGCAGCTTGAGTTGGGCAATGACTGGTGATAGAGGGGTGAGGAGTGTGCACGAACTTTGGTGGGTGTTAGTGCGTGGAGGTGGTGGGTGGGATCATGCAGGGCAGCACGAATCCGATCATCGGAGGTTAGGCATGTTGTGTGATGCGTTTAGATGTGCGTTTGTGAGACCACGGAGGAGGAGGTGGTGTAGGGTGTGCCGAGGGTGTTTTGATGTGAGGTGTTGGTGTGTAATGAGGAGGTGTAGTGCGAGACTGTGAGTGTACGCAACGTCCTCAGACGCGAGGGTTGCAGTGCCTGTGGCTTTGTAGGCAATATTGCGTAAACACTGCGATGGTCCAGCTAATGGTCAGCAGGATCACTGCATGGCGCAGTGCATCATTCACCTGTCAGTGGTAGAGTGGGGAAGTGGTGAGAGTGGATGGAGGAGGTGAAGAGAAGGTGGGTTGGGGGTGGGGGTGGGTGTGGATGGATAAGTGTTTGGCTGTGTGTGTGTGTGTGTGTGTGACAGATCTGTGGACGTGTGGGCGGGTGATTGGGCACTCGAGCTGATGTATGGTAGGTTTGAGTTAGGGCTCTCGGATTGGTTTGTCTCTTCCTTGCCCTTGTGTTGCCTCGGTGCTTCTGCAAGGGGGGAGGAGAAGGTGGCAGAGGAAAGTGAACACTCTGAGGTAGTTCCACTTGCAGTTCACGGTTGAGTGTTTGTGTGGCTGATGTTGTTGTGGTCGGTGAGGATGGTGGTAACGATTGATGGATGAATTAGGTGGTTGGATGTGTGTGTGGGTGGGTAGTAGACTGAGCGAGTGGGTTGTGGAGATGGGAGTGGGAAGTGATGGCGGGCGAGTGGTGCACCACTGCAGTCAGTTGCATAGTTAGCGATGATGGTGGTTGTGGTGTAGTTTGGGAATGGGGGAGTGGTGAGGTGTGTTGTCGTGGAGGCTTGGCAGCAGATGGAGACGGTTGTAGGGGTTGACAACAGGTTGGGGTTAGCGAGTGTGGGTAGTGGTGAGTGGTGTGCAACGGTTTCGTTGAAATGGTCAGTGCAGTAGTCGGTTGGGGGAGGTCTGCTGATGCAGTTGTGGTGATTGTGAATGGGTGGCGTGGAAGCATGAGCGGTGAAGGGGTGAGGGAGGGTGGTGGGAGGTGGGGATGTTGAGAGGGGAGAGGTGTGGTTGAGTTGAGGTGCAGGGCGTTCTGTTGCTTTGGGAGGGAGTGAATGCTACGGTTACTAGAGTAGGGTTGTGTGGAGATGTGGAGAAGGCGTTGTGGGGATGGGAGCGACGGAGATGGACAAAGGGAAGAGGAAGGAGGATGAAGGGAGGAGTGCGACATTAATGTGATGGAGGTGTTGGGCCATGGGCATGGAGGTAGGAGACAATGTCGGGTAGTGCGTTCCATTGTGACGGGCATGTTTGAGGGTGTTGCGGGAGAGTGGAGTCGTGTTGGTTGACTCACCACAACAAGAAGTCGATTATGATGATCAGCGTGAAGCACACTGAGGTGCGTCAAGGGGTGTCTAGTAAAACTGCTGAAGGAGGCGGTGTGGCGGGATTGAAGGAAGTGGTTAGGTGAACTGGATCCCATTGGGTGAGAGAGGGTGAGGGGCAGGTGGCAGTGTCTTAGCCGTTCACCCCACCCTACCTCTTTCACTCTACTTCGTCACCGAGATGTGAGTCGCGAATGT